GGAGGGGCCAAAGGCCTCAGAATTCTAGAAATGTGATACCTTCTTGTTTTCCAATAGATATCATAGGATATCCCGGAAGAGGTCTTTGTTTTGCGTTGAGGTCTGGGAATGTTTGATCTACCAGTCAACATCTCTGACAGATAAGAGATAATGCAATTACCCCTGCAGGCATGTTCCTAAGACACGTGTGTGTGTGTGTGTGTGTGTGTGTGTGTGTGTGTGTGTGTGTGTGCCCTTACCAGAATAATAAAGTTTGCTATTTGTCATCAGCATTTAGCCTCTCCGCATCTTCATTCAATCCTAGCACCTTCTCTCACGGAACTCTCGATATATTGGGGCTGGATCCCCGATAGGTTTCCCCCTCTTTTGTTGACCCTCCACTTTCCCAAGCAAGATGTCTTTCTTCGGGAATGATTGGTCCCTCCTGATAATATGTGAACAGTATGTGAACAGTCTCATTTCTGCAGCAAGCACTGCAGGTCCTCCTCAGTTTCAGCAAGCAAGGTTGTATCATCTGCATAATGCAGATGGTTGATGAACCTTCCTCTGATCTTAATGCCACATTTCTCCCCATACAGCCCAGCTTCCCGGATAATCTGTTCTACATATAGATTAAAAAGGTATGGAGACAGGACATATCCCTGGCTTGTACCCTTCCCAATTTTGAACTATGCAGTGTTTCCCTGCTCTGTTCTGATGCTTGCCTCCTGGTCCAAGTATAGGTTTCACATTAGCATGATCAAGTGATCTGGAATTCCCCTTCCTCTTAGAGTTAGCCACGGTTTGTTGTGATCCACACAGTCAAACACCTTTACATAATCAATGAAACACAGATAGACATTCCTCTGGTACTCCCTCCTATCAGCCAAGATTCATCTAACATTAGCTACAATATCCCCAGTACCACGACCCCTTCTAATCCCAGCCTGCAATTCTGGCAGTTCTCTCTTGATGTGCTGATCCAGTTGTTTTTGGATCATTTTCAGCAGAATCTTGCTTGCATGTGATCTTAATGATATTGTTTGATAATTTCCGCACTCTGTCGGATCACCTTTCTTTGGAATGGGAACAAATACAGATCTCTTCCAGTCAGTTGGCCAAGTGGTTGTCCTCCAGATTTCTTGAAACAACGTGGTAAGCACTTCTAGGAACAGCATCTGTTGGCTGAAATATGTCAATTGGTATACCATCAATTCCTGGGGCCTTATCTTTTTTTTTTTTCATCTCTTTCAAAGCAGCTTGAATTTCTTCCTTTATCACAATAGGCTCTTGCTGATATGTTGTTTCATGAAATTCTTCTGTGTCTGCCAATTCCTTTCAGTACAATGACTCTGTATACTGTTTCCATCTTCTTCTAATACTTCCTGGATCATTTAATATTCTGCCTAAAGCATCCTTTAGTAACTTGAGGTTTGAATTTGTTCTTCAGCTCCTTGAGATAAAGAAATGCTGAGCGAGTTCGGCCCCTTTGATTTTCTGACTCCAGGTCCTTGTATATTTCATTGTGAGCATTTATCAAGGGAATATAGTTTGTACAGGTCAGAAGACAAGGGTCAAAAAAATCTAACAATATTCACACCATACAAACTATATTCTCTGACTGTAATAGAATAATTGGAAATCAGTAACTTAAAAATTTCTGTGGAATACCCAAATAATTGGAGCTAAAATAACATACTTCTAAATAACTCATGGATTTAAATAACAAATAAATAAAGTCAGGAAATATCTTGAACTGAAATAAAAGCATAACTATTTTGCAGTTTCCCTCCCCTGAGGCTGGGCTGATAACACGGTCTTTCTGGCCTACCTAAAATTCATCCAAGAATCAGCTCCTAGCATAAATCCTCAGATGAGCTCCAGAGACTTCATAGTTAAAAAACTTCAACCATTACAAAAATTCCAAGATTTCAGACCAACTTTTTTTAAAAAAAAACAACCTTATTTCTTTACAACAACATATCAAAATGTGACCTACTGAGGGATCACATTTATTTTCTTCTATATTACTTGCCATCATATGTAGGTCCACTGTCCACACTTCCTCCGTATCCCTTATTTTCACAATCTGGAGGAGCCCAGCCATTTTCACAGTGACAATTCTTGTTGCTATTACATACCTTGAAAACAATGAAAACATCATTTCTGTTAAGTGAGAATGCTGCTCTGTATAATCAATTCAAGACAAGAAACCAAGAGAAAGGATACTCTTATAAACTCATGGATATTTTTTTAAGAATAAAAAAAGTTAGTATATATTTATATAGTATTTATACATATTCTCCAACATCCAAAAATCACAGGTTTCTGAAATTAAGATTATTTAGCAGTACTTTCATGACCAAATTAAAGACAACTGTTACCTACCCCATGTCCATGACATTTTTTTTGGATATCACAGTCATAATTCAGAACAGAAGCATTTACACATTGAAAGTTTCTACAGATCTAGAAAAAAAAGAGAACTAATGATTAAGGGAAATTTGAACACATTAATTAAGATATATCCAGAAAAGATTAACCTAACATTATTATTTTAATGGGAAGTTCTTTCAAGGAATGGCTAATTGTCACATTTTTTTAAAATGTAGAAAAAGAAAATTAACTGACATGGAACTGATTATAAAAAAGATAACATAATACACAGTTTAAAAACAAATCTAAAATTGCAACCCATTTCTTTTTATGAATATAAATGTGAAGATCCTAAGTCAAACCCTCACAAACATTTTTTAAAATAAAAAGTGATCAGATAGAGTTGATCTAGACTGCAAGGAAAGCTCAACTGAAGGAAATCTACTGCTATACTGCCTTTCATATACTGGTCAAATATTAAAATTTTGTTACTATTACAACATACATCAATGCACTTTTGTTAACTGTGCAACTTATTTTAATTTTAAAATTATTTCAAATTAAAAAGAAATTTTGTTGAGATGAAATTGATCTTCCAGTGTCATGATTAATGATGATAACAAAAGAAGCATTTCTATTAAATTCTTATATCTTTTTTTTAATTATTACATCTTCTTGGAATTTTAGTCCATGAAGTTAGTTTATGAAACAAATGAAAGTTAAGTATTACAAGAGGAAAATCAAGGTATAATTACTGAGAATTATATTAAACTAAAAAAAAACCAAACCCATGGTCATCTTGACATTCTGATTCATGTGACTTCCTATCAGGTTTCCCAGACTTTAAATATTTCCGGGAGGAAACCACCTTATATCTCTCCCACAGAGCAGTGGGTAATAATTAACTGCTGATCTTCTAGTCTGAAGCACAAAACAGAACATAATGTACTATCAGGGCTCCTGAATTACTGAAACAAATCAACTAAGACTTGGAAGTTTTTCCAGCTTTCTGGAAAATAGACATGCTTGGGAAAACTGTTCTCCTGGGATAACTTAGAAAAAAATGACCCTTCTAAAAATACTGAAAACAATATTTACATTTCCTTAGGTAATAAAATATAAAAAAATCAGAATATTTAAATGCTACCATGACATAAAAAAAAACACCTAAAATTAGATAATTAAAAGATATCTTTACTATTCTAAAAGTGCATAAGTTTGGCCAGAATTGTATTTTGAGAATTCTCAAATTCTTTATCCGCCAATAATTTAAATTTGCAAATAAGAAATGTATTAATGTACTTATTAATTTGCAAAAGCAATTAAGATTCTCCAGTAAAAAGTCACTCTTTACCTGTCCTTCAGCCAGTTCTTCTGAATATAGTATGCAAAATATTTTTCAAAAATAGTTTATAGGTGATTTATTTACCAAGCTTCCTCCTATTCAACTAAAAGATGTTTGATTTAATAACAGACATTCAGTGAATACTTATACACCACTAAATAAAATTACAGAAATGAAATGTGTGCATCTCTGGCATATGTGCCTAAGGAAGCAGAAATAGTTGTTGTTGCTTTAACTGTTGTAATTGTGTTGTTGAGTGGACTAAAACTCATCTGGAACCCATAAACAAGAAGTTGGAACTTTACCCTACCCTGTGCCAGCTTCACAAGCTCTGCCCTGAGCAAACCCATTGTTGTAGCTACTGTGTCAACCTGTCTTGTTGAGGAGATGAGTACAATCCAACTGGAAGGAAGATGCCAATAAACTGCCAGGGCTGGAGGAGTTAAGACCATCTTCTAAAAGACAACCCAGGCTCCACCATCAACACTAAATGCTAGCAATCATGAAAGAAGAGCAGAAGTAGGATTTATGACTTTAGGATGCAAGTTTGGAGTCAAAGTTAAACTGCCTCAGATAGTAAACAAAACATTTTAAGAGTTCTTCTTTTCTCTATTGTCTTCACCCAATATGTGGCTTCTTCTCTAAATAAATGTTGAACCAATATATAAAAAAATATCAATCTGAACCTACCAAAGTGTTGACCTGCTCAAAATATCTATAGTCTCACTCTGACGGAAGGATTGCAAGAAAAGACTCAACCCATCTTATAAAAAAACTCAGTTGTTAGACTTCTGGACTATACCAACAGTTACAAGGTTATGGTTTTACAAACTGTGTCATGCTTCATTTCATGAATTGTCAATTTTGTCAAGGTGTGTTGGTATAGGAATATATACCAACTATTTGTTAACCTAATTTTGCATACGCACTGCTGGCATAATTGCTGTTGTTGCTAAGTGCAGTCGAGTGAGAACGACTCTTAGAGACCCTATGAACAAAAGATCTGAACCCTGTATTACAACTATCATAATTTCTCTAGTTTTCATAGAGTTTCCAAAGGCAAGCTGTTTAGAAAGTAGATGTCAATCCTGCTTCCAAGCCTGTCTTTATCTGGGAGCTCTTCTAAACACTGTCCATCATCAGTAATCATTATGGCATTTGACACACCTGTGGCTATAGCATTATCACAGGAACCCCAAATTTTCTCAGTACAGTGAACTGACAGACTCATGCTGTACCACTTAGAAGAATGCTCTTCCCAAACACAATTAACACCAAGCCTAAGGAACCAACTGACTTTTACATACAAAGACTTGCCCACTAGGCCCTGATTAACTAAACAAGCAGCTTCCAAACCACAGCTCATTGTTAGCTAAAGCTAGCAAATTCAGGCAACCAATCAGCTCACACACAATTGTGAATGAAATAAAATGACCAAAGAGTTTACACCCAACTTTCAACTAAAACAAGAGAACCTACCCTCTAGAATCTAAATGCTTCACAGATGAGCTCCAAACTGGAGACTTAGTCAGGGCCCAGCTGACTATTATTATTAATTTTAATGAAATTTACAGAGACTTCGAATTTCCATTTATTCACTGTTGCACTTTTCTCCCTTCCCATCCCTCACCCCTAGTTCGCTCTTCTCTTTGAAAAGTAAAAGAAAAATTCTTTCATTGTTATCCAGTCCCTCCCCCCAAGACCACTCCACTATGCAACCTTTGTTCTGGACTCAGATCATGACAATAATAACTAATCACATATCCCTTTTAAACAATTCTCTCCCATCGTTCTCAGTCTTCCCCCAACCCTGATGTCAGTCCTGTATTACAACAGTGGCACTATGCAGTATTTGTCCTTTTGTGACTGAGCTATTTCACTCAGCATAATGTCCTCCAGGGTTACCCATTTTGAATGATATTTCATGAGTTCCTTTTTTTTCAATGCAGCGTAGTATTCCATTGTGTGAATATATCACAGCTTCACTATCCATTCGTTTGTTGATGGGTATTTAGGTTGTTTCCAACTCTTTGTTATTGTGAACAAAGCCGTGACAAACATGGGTGTGCATATATCTGCTTGGATGTCAGTTATGGTCTCTTTGGGGTATATTCCCAGTAGTGGAATTGCTGGGTCATATGGTATTTCTATTTGCAACTTTTTGAGAAAGCATCACACCACCTTCCACAGTGGTTCTACCATTTTACACTTTCACCAGAAGTGAATAAGGGTTCCATTTCCTCCACAATCTCACCAGCATTTGTTGTTTGCTGTTCTGTTAAATTTTGCTATTCTTACTGGAGTGAGATCGTATCTCATAGTTGTTTTGAATTGCATCTCTCTTAGAGCTAGGGATTTTGACCATGTCTTCATGTTTTTGTTTGCCATCTAAATGTCTTCTTTGGTTAAGTGTCTGTTCATATCCTATGCCCATTTCTCAATTGGGTTGTCTACCTTTATCTTGTTGTGGTGCCAACGGACTTTTAATTGCAAAGGCCCATCCACCAGGTCCTGATAGACTTAAACAACAGGCTTCCAGCCCACAGATAATTGTTACCTAAATCCAGTAAATCTAGGTGACCAATCAGCTCACAGACGATTTTGAATGAAATAAAATAACCAAACAGTGTGCACCCAACTTTCAACTAAAACAAGAGAATCTGCCCTCCAGAATCCAACTGCTTCACACATGAGCCCCCAAACTTAGAAAACTTAAAATACAGAAAATGCAATGACTTTTAAAAAGCTAGCTATCTAAATAATAATAGTTTAGAGTCTAAAACCAGTATTTTTACAACCAAAAAGCCCAGGTCTGGGGTTTTGGAAATAACAGTAATAATGTTGCATCTTACACAGGGAAAAAACAGTACACTATATTTTTAAAAATAAACTGTATATGTATATATGTTAATGTGCATTAAGAATATTAATTAAAGAGACTATTATTTCCCCATAGATCAAACCTGAAAGAATGTTAGTTATTAAGAATTCAAGCAGTAGAGGGGGGGAAATAGTCTATAATTGCCAAATAGCTATCTTCTTCCTCCCCCTTACATGCACAATCTCTCAGGCACACTCAATTTGTTCAACATCAGCAAGACAGATAAGACAGGAAATAAGAGAGAAACATTTAAAAAAAAATACCAAAAAAGTTCACAGATATAAGATGAAATGTTAATAAATTAGCCTGTGCCAATTAAAATAAAAATCTCCCTGGCCATAGATTGATAGACTAAAAATAACCGTATCATCCAAAGTAATATATAGATATAACATAATCCCTACCAAAATTCCAACAGCCTTTTCCACAGAAATGGAAAAGCTAATCATTAAATTCATTAAAAATTACAAGGAAACAAAACTTTCAAAAAAGAACAAAGAGGATTCAGACTTTCTAACTTCAAAATATAATATAAAGCTACAGCAATAAAAACTCTGTAGTACAGGTACAAGAATAGACTTATAAAGATCAATTAAAATTTAAAGTCTAAAACAAACCCATATGTCTGTAATCAACTGATTTCCGACAAGGGTGGGTAAGTCTATCAAATGGGGAAAGAATAGTCTTCAACATATGATCCTGAAAAAACTGAATCTGTACACACAGAAGAATGAAGTTACAAGTATACTCCATACCTTAAATGAAAATGAATTTAAAATAAGTCAACTAAAAAAAAAAAAATTCAACTAACTAAATGTAAAAAAAAACACCAGAAACAATAAAATTCTTAGCAGAAAACAGAGGCAA